CTGTTTCTGGGCAGTGAGATTTCTCCATTTCTTTCTCTCTCTCTCTCATTTTTTCCTTCACCCTTTATTTTCCTTCACTCTCTCATTTTTCATTCTTCTCATTATATTATTTACTCTCTCTTCCACTAACTCTGTTCTTTCCCTCCATATCTGTCAAGCTAGAAAGTTTAATGTCACAGCTCATATATCACCCAGCAATCATCTGCAGCATGCCTGGTGACCACCACCAACCAACTTCTAGCCCTGCCGTCCCTTTAGACCACCATGGAGCTGTGTGGTCAGGAAACCAGCTGTGGTGGTAGCTGAATTAAGGCTGAGTCCATTACTGGTGGAAACACCGATTGTATGCTGATTTAAATGACCCTTCGTCTTTCAAAATACAGCCTTTCACAAGATACTACAACAGGGAAGCAAATGAAAGGACCAAAATTGTGCTCAAGATTTTCCAATCTACAGGGAAGTATTTTTAATTACTTTGAGTAAGTAGCCCAGGTCGTAGTTTCTGTTCAGCTTCCTTTGGCCAACTTGGTTGAAGATCTTGCACTGAACCAATATTACATATTTTCGGGAGGTCAATGATAAAAAAAGCTTACTTGTGTGAAAAACTAAGGAAAAAACTTAAAACTGTCACTCTGATATAGCAGTGAAGTCAAAAATTGATTTTCCTAGTGTTTAAAAGCAATGGACAGTCATAGGCATACATCTTTTGAGCTGTCTGAAGTTACTTCAGCATTCATTGTGTGTCATCTGGGGGGTTTGCCATGTAATAGCTGCAAGGACACAACCAACACTTGTAATTTCTGTTTGATCAACGAGACAAAGAATCTCCAAGACAGGCTGTATTATCTGCAGGTTTAAGTGCACTCTGTGAATCATCACTGCATACTGAGTTATAAACACATCTGCTGAAATTGAAAGACTTACGTCCATTGGGGACGTGAGTGCATGAATCAAAATCCAATAAAGCTATCATCAACAGGCAAAAGATGAAGAATGCAATAAAAAAACATACATATAGCTTACTGCTCACTGCAATGTGCAGATTAGATTTGTTCTAAATGTAATTCACTTGGATCCCTGATCAATGATCAAATTTGATTGTGGACATTTATTTGAACACTGAGTGAGAAAAATGGCAGGTAATAACCATCTATAAAAATAAAAAACAATGAAACAAGGGCTATGACTGTCAGCCTTTATTCTGCAATTTATCGACACTGTTGTCAATAATATGTAAACCTCCGCATTTCTCTTGAACAGTTGTGTACGTATTGTTTGCAAAACAGCTGTTTTCATTTTCTAACATCATTATCAAAAACATACATATGCAGAGTTGGGCATGTTTTGGAGATGTGGCAATATTTCTACATGCTTCTGGGACAATATAATCTGTAACAGAAACCAAGGAAGGGCAGTTCAAATGTATGGAGCCACTGACTGTCCAAATAATTGTTGAGACAATGTGTGTCTAAAAACTTCAGGGTACACCTCAATCTGAGGTTAGAAGCAGTGGCAGAACAGTTACTTGCTCTTCCCTTCTACTTTTGATGGTAACGGTACTACAATAATTTCTACTGCAGACCACGAAAAGATCCTAGAAATATAAACAGAGAAATGCTATAGGAAACCGAGGCCCCTACAATCACATGAGAAGAGGAGGAAAAGAGGATTAGAGAAACAAGCAGAAGACATGACAGGAAGAAATCTTAAATACAGAGGAAAAAGAAAAAAGGAGACAGAAAAGTGGATAAACTTGAATCTAATTAAATAAGGTAACTGAAAGGATGTAAAATAGTAAAAGAAGAGAAAAAGAGATCAAGATATAAGAAAATAGCAAAAACTAATGTTTTAAATTAAAGAAATGGGAGTAATGAAGTAGGGACTGCAGCAGGGTATAGCTAAAGAGGTTTACGGTTAGGGGACACATACTGTAAGAAGGAATGCACTGATGTGTGCACAAACATACACCCCCTATGAACCCCTCTCCACTTTTACCAGACACCCAGAAACATAAAATTTGATATACTGTTTTCTGCGGAGCTGTCCAATAAAATACAACACTAGTGTGAGCTTCACTGGAATGTAAACGGAGAACGTTGGAATAAAGCGTCACCACAGAAAATAACAAAATCAACGCTGTCCTGCAGACGGTAGTTTGACAAACCAAGCTGTCAGGCAACAGACAGTGACTGATTTCAAGAAATTAAGATTTTATGGTTGTTTTTTTTTTCCAGATTTCCCTCATTCTTCTCTGGAATTGCAGACCAACAGAGACAATTTTGCATATGCTGCTCACTGGATTGCTGCTGTTGCTGCCAGTGAGCAGCACAAACCAAAGTTTTACTAATCCTAGCAGCTGTGTTCCAGTCAGCTGTGATGATTTAAAGTCTCTGAGTGATGCTTTAATCTAGGTTCACCAATTATTTTGAAAAACATTTTACAATCTGTCAGTCCTTTCAAATTAAGACTGAAGCTTTGTTATCTTAGTTATTCCGCCTTGCTGAATTAAAGAATTTTCTTTGGACAGGGAATAAAATTTCATACCCAAACAGCTCCCTCCGCGAAGGACACTTACCATCTGTGTTATCAGCTAGACCTCAATATGAAACACCTTTCACTATTGAAAAGCCCTCTTACATCAAAAGGAATACAAAGGAGGAAAATTCCTAAAGGAATGAAAAAAGCACATGTTCAAAACGAACAGCTTTTGTTTGTCATGTTGAGTGTGTGTGAGGATGTCAGCTCTCTCCTGGCCGTGGCCCCGTTGACTGCCGGCTGCAGACACAAGAACAAACACGGAACCTAGTTCTGGATGCATATCTGAATCTTGTGAGCGTTTCAAGGCTTACCACAAACAGTTGCAGCCAGTCACAGCTTGCAAAAACACTCTGGAGAACAACCACTGTTTTTTAACAATTTTACCACATTCAGGGCCAAATAAATGGCACAGCGTCAGCAGTTTAACAGTCCCGTCTACCTATTTATCTTTAGATAGGTAGAGAAAACCAAAAATAAAGAGAACAGTCTCCAGTAAGATTCTTATCTGGAAACGTGATACTAATGTCTTTAAAGAAATCATACCAGGTAAGTCTGAGTCAAAAACAACTCACAGCAAAGCATGGCAGGAGTGAGTAGTGAAGGCAGGTAGTCGGCAAAGAACAGCCCGCAACGCCCTAGTATGACGTTACGGAGTGAACACATTCACAGTGCCCACAGGAACTAAAACTATTCAGCAAGGTTGCACTGGGTGTGAGGCAGATACACCAGAGACCACAACACTTCACAAAACTTTGCATCACAGTTAACTTTGCTCATTTCTCTTCTTTCAGCTCCTCTTTTTCCATTCCTCCTTCACAATTAACCTGTCACAACAACAACTGATAGGAACTGGAACAGCTAACATCTTCCTGAAGGCCTAGGAGTGGGACAATTTCAAAAGCAGATACAGCAAAGACATTTTGGTTATATCATAGGAATTATTGCGTTTTTTCCAACTAAACATCTACTTACACAACACATCACCTATTCCCCTTCACTCTCTTTCCTTCTAAACTCAAACTCTTTCCCCCAGTGCTCTTTATCTAACCTGCCAGCACATGAACCAGATGTGCAAATGTTTCTCTATGTTACTAGTCAAGCACCATTCCAAGAGAAAGGCAGAGTGAGGAGAGAGGAATATTTGACTTCACTCCACGGGAGACCAGTTTCATAAATTTTGGCGGCTGCACAACGTTGAAAAAGGTAGCTTGACTGGCTTGGCCAAAGGAGAATGTTGACGGCATACCAAACAACGTGATCCTAATGAGTTGGAAAATCCCTGGCCCTCCAGAGGACTGTCCAGATGCTACCGTCATGAGAAACGCTACTGTTTTATTGAATCTGGGCTCCCCTCCCTTTCTTTAACAAGGGGCAAAATTTATTATTTGACCATTAAGGCATCCAAGGCGACATGAAGCATAAAACTGAGTTAATTTACCCTTGGCTGCAGGTCCTTTACCCCACAGCAGGCACAAGACAAGCTGATGTCAAAATGTCTGAACGCGTATATTAGAAACCTTGATTTCTGGATGTGTGTTTACATCATTGGTATGGGATCCATGAGCTACTGGCACAGTGTCTGGTTGACTTGTTCTGGCTGAATATTAGTCTATGATGTGCTGAGTCCTGAAAAACAACTGTAAAGCTTTTCATTAGAGGGTTAAATCACTACAAACTCTAGCCAGTTCCATATATCTCCCTTGACAATTACTGGTGTGAAGAAACAAGCTTTAGTTTATCTAGGACTAAAGAAACAAAAAGTAGTGAATGTACTTAATGAGAAAAAGGAGATTTCAATAAATCATCTACCATGATAAACGTGTTAACATCTAATACAATGGTCTAAAAGAGCCCAGATGATTCAGTCTGTTCTTTTTTTTCTCAGTTGCCATTGAAAAATTATAATCTCTTCGATCAAATATCGACTGCATTATGAGAACTGAAAGAAAAAAAAACACAAAGAGCCTATTGCAATGCTAAGCAAATGACAAACACATGCACTGGAAAACAGCTTCTGCTCCTGCCCCTAACCCTATCTCAATCACTTTCTCTTTAGACACCTACAGTATTCACTTGTCTGTTGGAAGAAAATCCAATGTACAACCAAACAGCATGGTGCGAGTGGAAGGGTCAGAGGTCATTTTACATGCAAACATGCACACAAACCCACACATATGCAACTTCCATGAATAAAAACACATTAACTACACACTAGTCTCAACTATATAAATCTGAATTTAAATAAATATCAAAAGATATGGGGAGACCCTCTCACTGTTGTTTGGGTTTGCTGTAAGACAACCATTAGGCTACGATTTCAGCAATCTTCAGATGAGTATTAACTTGGGTGAGGTATAAGAAATTCATGAAAATTGATGATTGTGTACAAGGGATTCTCTGTCAAAGAAAATGCAAGCTCAGTTAACTTCATATGGTGTATGTACATATAGCATGTTGCTTACCTGGAGCTTTGTACACCTCATTGAGCAGGCTTTCGCTGAGTGTCAGCGGGGTTCCATTGGTCATGCTGTGTGTCCAACTCTGACAGATTGCTTGGATCAAAAGCGTCTGGGCCCTTGTGGCCTGTACAGTGAAATGGGGAAGCTCAAATATACACTCTGTGGTGGGGACCGAAGACCTTTTGCTCCTGCAAACAAAGGACAAGAGGGAGAAGAAGTAGTGGTTAGATAAAGCATAGTTGATAGAGTAAAGGAGAAACAGAGTCAGGACAACCAATAGTAATAAATGAAAGAATGAAAAAAATGAAAGAATCTACGTCCCTCAATATCGTAGTATAAAACAGCCCGATAGCACAAAGGGCCAAATAGGTAGAACCACATTCCAACATCAAATTGAAGAAGCACTTAGTTCAAGCCAAGCTTTCCTTAGTTACTTGGCATGTAGGCATAGTTTGCTTCTTTGCCACCGACCCTTCTCTCCCCTCTGTCCAAACTGTGATGATGATTTATGTGAAGATACATACAGCCCAGACACCAGACCCTGAAAATAATCTCTACACATTTGACATTTCATCCGTCTCCAAGAGTGTGGAGAGAGGGTTTGTGTGTACTGATGAGCTGAGTGTTCAGGGGGATGAGGTAACAGCACAGTCAGATGGATCCCTCCAGGCCCGTCTATCAGAACCGCAGTGGACCATGCTTCTATCTATCATCACAAACACACACGCAATCACACACGCAAACACACACACGCAAACACACACACACTTGAGGCTCCTTAGCTCTTAAGAACTCATGTGTGACATCAGTAACGGCAGATCGAGGGATTTCCCAACACTCATACACACTAACAAGGGCATGGCATTATATACAAGTGTAGAGAGGGAGGAATTTGAGATCAGTAGTCATGGTGATGACTATTGATCTGATCTTTACTTCTCTCTTGTCCCTCCCTCCCTCTGCGTCCTCAAGAAAAACACACATGGATCCTGAACTCTCCAAACATTACAAAACAAGCCTCCTTGGTTCCACTTATGTATTCTTCTCTGCTGTGCTGAGAGTTTGACAGAACCCCCTCCCCAAATACACATGTATTATTTTGAAGGTGGCGGGTGGGGAGAGGGTAGAAGGTAAGTAGAGGTAATTCACTATAAACTGTAATGGAAGCCTAGAGGCACTGCTCTCTGAGTGGTACTTTTGATGAAAATAGAACTATGACTAATTCCAGGGATGGCTGCATCGTGTCAGGAACGAGCATCACAGTTCATTTAATCACACATCCATTTTGGTCTGGTCCCAGTTCAGAGTATGGGATATGTCACGGGGTCTTTCACTCTGCTCAGCAAATCTGTAATCGTTTAATTCCTCTGCTTCCCTCTTCTCTCCACGTCTCTTTATCTTTCCCTTTCTTCTGCTCCTGGGTGGTTCAGTAGGGTGACATGAGCTGTTAGCTGCTCACAGGCAGGTCCAGAGTTCTGAGCCGCCTGCTGTCTCAGGGGGGACTAGTATGAGACAGAAAGTGAGTTTTATAAAGAGAGATGTAAGCGTGCAGAGAAAACAAAGCCAATGAGCAAAAAAAAGAAACTCCAGGGTCAAACTGACAGGGTCAATGAGTTTACCTTGATAGCACACATTCTGAATTACCGAGCAACATGTGGTGCATTTGGCACCATGGTGAACCATGCAATGTCATGCTTCTCTCCTATTAAAAATTACTACTGTTGTATGCTATACAGCAAGACATCAATCAAGTCGTTTTTCATGTGTTCTTGTGTTCAATTGCCTGCATGCCTGTGTGTGCGTGTTTGCATCTGTGTGTATGTTTGCACATCTGTGTGTGTGTGTGTGTCCTTGTGTGTCTTTGTACACTTCAGTGCTGAACAAAAGAAAGTGAAAGAGACCCAGCAACAACAATGTCCCCACATGCAGAGCAAATGTGCCGGCAAAGCCACTTCAATGGAAGGACTGGCAAGGGATGAAAGTTTGTTGGCTTATTCGAGTGTTTATAGCGTTTTAGGGGAGCTGTCATGTGCATGTGGTCGTCTAAAACTTTAATTATGCACCTGTTTTTATTATATTATGCCCAATTCTTTGCGGAAAGCAACTGGAATCTTGGAGCTAAATGAGAAACAGAAACTCTCATTAGGGTGTTTTGGGAATGCTGGATGAGAGGACAGCCAGGCACTTATTCGATTTCATTAAGCATATGGCACAGTCAGTGTTTCTTGCTGCAACAAGGTAAACATAGTTCTGGCAGGCAACTCTCTCTCTCTGTTACCTCGTGGGAAATAAGTGTCCAAGAGGTAAATATAGCAGTGCAAATACCTGTAGCAATAAAAGAAACGGAAACAAACAACTACACTATAACTACAAACACATATGCATGAGGCAACTAACAAAATGCCATACATTGCTACAGTGCAGTATCCATACTAGAAACAGAGTCTGTAGTCTAGGCAGCAAAACTTATTAACGAATGCTTCTAGTCTCATAAAGTGGAGACCCACCAGAGTTGGGCCCACAACCCATTTTGGATCCCGACTCATAATTTAGGGGATCAGTTCCTTGGCTTGAACTTTAGTGCCTCATTGAAAAGGCAGTCTGTGAACTCACAGTAGTCCTTTAAGTCAATAACTTTTTCATTAGAACACAGAGGCCACCAGGAATATGTTAAGAGGAAATCAAAATTAGTCAAGAGTTATGAAAAAATAGGTGTTTCAGTTTCAGCAGATGAAATATGCTTTCCTCTGGTGTATTTCAACAACATTAGGCCTCATTTCCTGACCTGTCCCCTGCTGGTGCCATGACGGAGTGACGAAGAACTACACTGGGGCTAGGACAGGCCATTTGGCCTGACTTGCTGACTGCTTAGCTAGGTAACTGGCTGACAGGCTGGCACAAAGTCTTTCTGTGTCCAGTGTCCCTGTTAAAACTCAAAACAGGGCATGGTGTTGTGCAGAAGGCATGAGTCAGAGTCATGAGTACCATAGCAGCTGTGGTGCTCTGTTTCCTCTATGTTCATGCTCAGATGTGGACATAATACAGGGACAGCAAATTATTTTTTGTAATTAAAATGACTGAGTGATATCTACAAGTAAGTAGACTTCACAGAGGTTACCTACAAAATATTTTTAGTTTCTTCCAAAAATGGCTCAGAGGCTGTGGTAGCTATTGATAAAATGTATTTACTCAGTTTTTTTGGGGGGGGGGTTCCTGGGTGGGACAGACAAACAAATTGAAGCAAGACTCAACAAAAACAACACAACACACAATATGTCAATCCTGTAGCCTTCATCGAGCTGCTGAACAAGTACTAAACCGGCCGCAAAAATGTTGAGTGTGGCAACTTCCATTCCGTTTGCATTTTTCAGAGAGATGTTTCAGGTCTGGCACCCACGTCGTTATCCACGGTACCTCCATGCCAACACTTTGAAACACCGACCAGGTGAAACACGGTTGTCTGGTGTCTACACTGGCACCGTGTCTGCTGATATATCCACTGTATTTTCTTGAATAAAGGTCAAGTTATGTACTCAACTATTGCTAGAACTCGTATGAAGATGTGCATATCCCAGTCTCGTGATAACAATCAAAGCCTTGCTAAAACAAATTAATTGATTTAGTCAACAGAAACACTGGAGGGAATTTATTTTGAAACAGGTGCATGAAGTGTTGCAATTATGTATGCTTGTGATGTATTTGACAGACGCTGAAAATGATCTTTCACCGGAGTTTTAATGTTTACCTGTCAAATATGTCACAAACATAACATATTTGCAACTCTTCCTGTGGTCTAACCATTTCAAAATAAAAGGACTCCAGCGTTTGTTGGCTGAATTCTTTCATTTGTCTAAAAAAAGGGTTTTATTGTTAAACACTTGCAGGGAGTGCACAGCTTCATACTGTGTAGAACTGGTTCTGAATACATAGGATTGGCAGTAGCACTGCAGAACTTATTGAATGAATAGAGAAGCTAAATATTGAGCATTGAAAAGATGCTGTCAATATGAATAGTTTGTATTTAACAGATATTAATGTGAATATTGTGCATTGAATAGATAAAGTTGCATAACTGTCTTCATTTGCATGTATTTATGCTCGAGCCTGTTTTAATTGCAAAAATAATAAAGATGATCCTCCTGATTGGGATTTTTGGAAGATATGGAGTAGTAGATCGCCGCTTACATTTGGAATTAAAAAGTGATCTTGGGCTTAAAAAGGTTGGTTACCACTGATTTAGAGCAATACAGCTTGGACTTCATTTAAATGACTGTGATTCCTGCTTTACAGAGGCCACAAACAAGCACAGAAATGAATACAGACACACTCAAGCACACAAGCCTAAAAAATACATTACTGTACAGAAACAGATATGCACATATGTCCACACATGCATCTCACGCATGTATACGCACCCTTATGTGCTGGAAATAACTATGACTACTATGCTGAGTAACGAAGATAGTGACAGGTTACATGTTCTGCAAACTGGGCAAAAAGGAAAATGAGAGAAACAGACAACAAATATTCTCAAACCATGAGTGAAAACACAAATGAGGTCAAACGGCAAGAATAGACAGGAGAAGAATAGAGCCTGCAAACGACTTTCTATCGCTATCATTGGTGCTCTGTGGTGGTCTTAGTCTACCACTGAAGGTGTTGTGGTGTGACACTATAGTGGTATGCTTGGGCTGAGAGGCATTGTCCAAAGTATCCTTCCTCAGTATCCTCCTCTCTGTCTCCTCCACAGAAGGTGCCACTCTTAAGACACAACCTGCTTTTCTGAGGAGCTTGTTGAGTCTGTCAGAATCAGCTTCCTTCCCCCCGCTGCAAACCTGTCCATCACTGTACTCAGCCTCCTGTCTCCTGCTGATACAGCCCACAATAGCAGTTGTCAGAAAACTTCTGCATGTTGCCAAACTGTGAGCAGTATCTGACGTCTGAGGTTTAGGAACAGGACAGGAGACAGAACCATCCCTGGATGTGGCCCTGTGCTGCTCACTGTCGTGTCCGACTTGCTGTTCTGCAGCCTCACATAGGCTACTGTGGCCAATCAGTAGGGTAGCTTGTAATCCAGGCCACTGCTGAAGCATCCACCTGCAGTAGGCTGTTGCTCAGAAGGGCATGCCACAAGGTGTCAAAGGTGCCTGCCTCTTCTAGGTGAGAACAAGCTCTGTGCAGCAGAAAG